AGAGAATGGCCTCTTTTACGTAGTCAAAAAAAAAAAAAACCAATCCAGGAGGGAAGAGCCCCAGAGTTTCTGGCCCAAACAAAAACAAGATAACTCTTGAAGACTAAGTTGATGAATTTGCATCAGTAAAAATACCTCACAGGGACTCCTTCCCTCAGCTTTGTTGTTTCCAGTCACCGAAGAACTAGTGCTCTTTGCATCCTCTAAATTCAGCACCTTGGGCACAAACCTAAATGGCTCCACCTTACCTATGCTTATCAAATTGGAAAAGCAAAAAGAACAAACAAATCAGGATGGACAGATGAGAAAGTGACAGATTGTTATGAGTAACAGCAATGAATGGGAAGGTGTTCCAATCACATTTCAGAATTCATTTACAGGTGTCCTAACATGTTTTCCTCTTTCAATTAGACCCCTCTAACTAAGGTGTAACAACAGAGGGTTTGTGCTGGAGCATTGACTTTAGAGGCTGTAAAGATCACCTGTAGTCCTTTGGTGGCTAGAAACAACAAACCTTAACATAGTTAGCAAGAAGACTTGGTTAAAATCAGATGATAATTAGGGGCAAGATCTCTGCTGACCTAGTAGGATGCTTCCATCTCCCTTCTCCACCTGCCCAGCAGAATCTCACACAAGTATCATGGTTTTCAATTTCTCCCTACTACATACTATCTTTTTCGCCACTGCTTGCTCCAGTTATAAATAATGTACTTCAAATAGGCACCAAACTTCCTATTTATGGCTTTCTTTGCTCCTTTGCTTAAGTAATGCATGTTTTGTTTTGCTTAGTTAATAAACCTCCTTGCCTTTAACAGATTTTTTCCTAGAAACCATGAGCAGATTCAAGAACATGACATTGATTTTTTCCCAGGAACTGAATCTCTTAATACCTTCCACCTCAAGATAAAGAGCCTAAATTACAGACTGTGATTTCCCCCATAAAGGGGCCTTTATCTAAACATTTCTCTCTATCACACAATCGAATCCACAAGGCCTTGGATGGATATTATTGTGAATAAGAATATAAATGTGGAGTGGGCCCCAAAATCAGTCCTTGTGACCATCCTACAATGCTAAGCTCTGGCAGCACATCTGGCCAGTAGCCCTGCCAAAGAAAGCAAGAACTCTTTCCAGAAAAATCACAGAGAGACCACAAATTGCTACCAAACAACTCTGAAATGTCCTCATCTTCCTAACAGACAGGCAGAGATAAACTTCCACAAGCCCTGGGGAGCCAAACTATTTCACTGGAGATTTTCACAAGATGCTGCAAAGGAATAAGAAAGTTTAAATGACAGGGAAGACACAGGAGGGAGTTCTCTGGTCCCTTGGATTGTCTGTGAAAGATAAAATGAGATAATGAATGTCAAGATGAGGTTTCATCAACATCAGACTTACCCAACCTCATCATTTCACCAGCAATGACATTACGTCTTCATTTCAGTCCAGGCTAAAGTGGTAAATTTTGAAAATACATCCTCGGAACACTTGTGAGGAGGAGAATGTCTCTGACTGATAGCCCTGCAATGACCAATCATATAGGGAAGTGCACTGTATTTCCCAAATGGTTGGCCATATTGTTAGTGTAGTCCTGGATGGATCTATGCTCTCATCAGTGTGGCCATTTCTTCCAACAGTGCAGATCACAACCGATCCCTGCCAACAAATGCTGAGTGACTTTTAACCAGGTCTGGGACCTGTTAGAGGTGGGGCAGCACCTTTATATATTTTGACAACAACTGAAGACTAATTACATGACCAGCCCATGTTCTTCTCTGGTCATATATTGAAAAGAATAAGAAAAAGGAAGAGAAAGTCATGAAGGGAAGGAGGAAAAGGAGAAGAAGAAGAAAAAGGAGAAGAAAGAGAAGGAAAAGGAAGAGGAGGAGGAAGAGGAAGAAGAGGAAGAGGAGAAGGAAAAGGAGGAGAAGAAGAAGAAGAAGAAGAAGAAGACGAAGACAAAGAAGAAGAAGAAGAAGAAGAAGAAGGAGGAGGAGGAGGAGGAGGAGGAGGAGGAGGAGGAGGAGGAGGAGGAGAAGAAGAAGAAGAAGAAGAAGAAGAAGAAGAAGAAGAAGAAGAAGAAGAAGAAGAAGAAGAAGAAAGGAAGAGGGAAAAGGGAAAGAAAGAAAAAAGAAAAAGAAAGGAAGGAAAGAAGGAAGGAAGGAAATAAGCTTTATGTAGTTAACTTTTGCAACAAGGTGAGTGGCTAAACAAAAAATAATGTTTTATTTTACTTTTTCTTTAATTTTATAACCTGGACTCCTCAGTAGTGTAAAAGCCTGCTTCTTGAGGCATGCAGTGGAATCAGAGAACCTTAAGAATACTTAATAGGCCCTGGGAAGCATATTGTCTCTGGAATGAAAAGATCTGGGTTCACATTCTGCCTCTGAACATTCTGATTGTGTGACTGGGCAAAATCCTCTCTGGATTTCAGTCTCCACATCTATAAAATGGACTACAACTCTTCCTTGCTCCCTTCTAGCTCTGGATCTATGATTCCATTGGGATTTTATTATGCAAAGTAAAGTGAGCAGAATTATACAATAAGGTACACGAAAAGTGCACTCAAAGGAAAGCAAACTCTGGATTACCAAGATGATCAATATTGGTCCTAGAGAACAGATCATAAAATGCACCTTCCTGCTTTCAATAAAGAGGTGGGGGACTATGAGTGCAAAATATTACACACACTGACACAGTCATTGTGTCAACTGATTTTGCTTAACTGATTTTGTTTCAAAGGAGGATTCCTAGAAGAGGAGCACAAGGGAGATATACGAGAATAGTTACTTTGTTGTTGTTGTTGTTTTTCTGAAAAAAGAAACAAAACAAATAATAGAGATTAAAAAAGCAATATGGCCTAGAAACTAGAGAAATGACCTCGGAAGGTTGGGAAGACCTGGATTCCAGTCCTGCCTCTTACACACTGTGACAAAAGACCCTGGAGAAGTTAGCCCAAGCTAATTTTAGGGATTCTAACCCAGGTTCTCTGAAGCCAAATCAGTACTCTTTCTGGTAGACCATTCTGCCTCCAAGAAAAGTCTAGATGATCACTTAGGTGGGGGAGAGGGGACATTGTAGGGCATAATTTCTGTTCAGGAATGAGCTGGACTACTTGGGCTCTGAAGTCCCCTCTAGTTCTGAATGTCTTTGATTCTATGAATCTTTGTTTGAAGACTAGTATTAGACTCAGAGATTAGAAGATGCCTGGTACCGTAACAGCTGAGAAAAAGTTTGAGATTCTTAGAATAGTAGAATAGTAGTAGTAATAATATATATATATATATATATAAATACATAATATATATTCATATAACAATGTTTCCCTTTTATAATGTGCTTTAAGGTTATAAATCTCTTTCTGCAGAACAGCTCTGAGAGGAGGTGGTGCTATTATTATCTCCATTTGAAAGATGAGAAAACTGAGGCTAGAAAGGTCAGTTGACATGTCTAGTAATTTGGAGGTAGGATCTGAGCCTGTGTCTCCCAACTTCACCTGAACTACTCCATTGAGATCTTTCTGAGACCATCACAATAGTCTTCTCACTGACCTCCCTACCTCCAGTCATACTCCTTTCTGAAGCCATACCATTCCTGATTAACTTTCAAAAGTACCATTTCCATCCTTGCTAAAAAAGTTGGAGCAGTGAAAAATGGACTGCACTGGGAGGCCAAGGGCTTGGTACCACTTACTACTGTGTGACCTTGAGCCAGTGACTTCACTTGAGAAGTCAGATCTCTCCTGGGTCATCCAGTTGGTTCCCAATCGAAAACCTGCTCCACTTAGATGGGATGGATAAACGTTTATTAAGCCTTTATCATGATGCCAGACATTAGAGATACAAATAGGAAAGTGAGACAGTCCCTACTCTCAAAAAGCTCACACTGATTGGAGGAGACAAGACACACAGGAGAGTTTGGCCACAGGGCAAATGTGCCCAGGGCTCCTTAGGGGGCAATGTTGGGAAGGGGAGCTCCTAGTGGAATCTGTGTGAGTAAAGGTTAAGGCAGGGGATGAGGGAAGGTCCTATCCGGTGAACTGTTGTGAGAAAAGCACTTTGTAAACCTCTAATGGCGTTTTTTAAAATGTTGAATTGTCTGTCTGGTGAGCTATGGTGCATTCTGAATAACTGAGACTCAAGGTGGGGCCTTTGGGAAATGGAGGCGTCTCATCTCAGGATAATCAAGGGACCACAATTTTAGATCTGGAAGGACCTCCCAGGCCATTTAGTCCAACCTCCTCATTTTTCAGTCGAGGAAACTGAGGCCCCAGGAAGTTAAAATGTGGATAGTGAATGAATACCATAGTATTTGGACCCAGGTCCTCTGAGCCCAGAACCCGTGCTTTTCCCATTAAACCATTCTTCCACAAAGGTAGTGAAATCAATATACATGCAAGCCACAAGGAACTTGTGAGTTTATGCTGGGGCTATCAGCTTATGCTCATGTGATCACAAAGGAAACAGTGAGGCAGATTTGACCCTAGAATCTGAAAAGCTTTCCAATTCTGCTACTTTCTACATATGTGATCACCACACCTCTTTGGGCCCCCAATTCTTTTTTTTTTTTGATTAGGCAATGGGGTTAAGTGACTTGCCCAGGGTCACACAGTTAGTAAGTGTTATGTGTCTGAGGCTGGATTTGAACTCAGGTCCTCCTGAATCCAGGGCTGGTGTTCTATCCACTGCACCACCTAGCTGCACACCCCCCCCCAATTCTTTACATATAAGATAAAAAGGTTGGACTAGAAGACCTCTAAGGTCCCTTTCAGCTTCAAATCTATCATCCTACAATCATCTTTGGGCCTCAGTTTCCTCATCTGTAAAATAAGGGAGTTGGACTCAATGACTTTGGAGATTCATTCCAGCTCTAAATAGTCCTGAATTGCCCTGAAGTCAAGAATAGTTTTTAGAGGTTGCCATAAAGTATGCTGCTATAATTGGCACTAATGTGTCCCAAACAGAGGGGAATCAGCGTATTGAATAAATGCTCAAGATATATTGGTTTAGTAGGTTTCAATGCCAACCCTCATTTATTAAAGTGTTGACAACAGCTCAGGAGGAAGGAATACATCATATGGTGTCAATACACATGAAAGCATGCACTAAGACCAGCTCTTGGGCAAGTGGTTCTCTCACCCAAGTTGCTCTTGGGAAGTTGGGGTTTTGGTGGTTGCCCTAGCCGGAACCTCAGGGAAGCCTGTACCTGTCCTCCCTTGATGCCCATTGTAAGTTCAGTGCGACTCATCCTGGACTTCTGGTCTGGGCACGCCAGAACCAAAGCCCCGTATCCAGCCCCTGTGATGGGAAAGGCCACCATGATGATTTTCTGGGCATTTGCTATTCTTTTCTCTGCCCCTTTATGCAAACTGGGTGGACCCCTTTTGAAGGACTTACAAGAGGCCATAATGATGTTACCCATGATGAGAAGATAGGATAGTAAGTTAGCATGTAAGCTCCTTAAGGGTGAGTGCTGTTTCTGACTTTCTTTGTATTCCCAAAACCTAGCACAGTGCCCTGCACATACTAGGTGCTTTATAAATGCTTGTTGATCAGTTGACAAAGAGATCGCTTTGACGTAAGGAAGCTCATATGTTGTCCATGAGATTCCTTCGGTATGGAACACCTGAGAGTAGCTGTAATCTTATGGACATGGGCACTGCCTCCAAGGGTCCAGATGACAACCCACCCTTACCCACTCAGCCCATGTTACTCTTGTCTTGTCTATGTCCCACACTTTTGTCTTGTCTCATGCATCAATCCTCCTTGAAGGATTTGCCTGGGGTCTTTCCTTATGTCTTTCAAAATTTCTTGAGCACCAATGCAGTCCTTAGGCAGTCCAACTCTTATCTCTCACTCTCAAACCTGCTCCATCTCTTTTACTGATCCTGTATTTCTTGGATACCTTTCCTGCCAGTTCTTGCCATTCCTTACCTTTAAGTCACCCATAATTTCAATACTTCAGGGACTACAGTCTTCCATGATTCACAGTCCTAGTGTTCAAAAGGTGTATTTGTATGTCAGAGAGAAGGCTCGTATCATACAAAAGTCTGTACAGTTTCCCAGATGCAACCCAGCTCATTCTTTTCTTCCTTTTCAATTGTGAGTCTAGCCCATGGTCTAAATACAGGGTTCATCTAAAACATAGATACTGAAAGACCCAGTGAGCTGCGCATCTAATTATAGGTTGTAGCCTGGGGTAGACATACCAAGAGGGCCTTCCAAATTCAGTCCAATCCATTCATAATCAAGGAAGTCTTATAGATGCCACTGCCTCTGCTAAACCCCAGCTGGGGCATGTTACTAGTGCTAGGATCCTAGGCACAGCTGGGTTTATGAGCAAATGAGAGAAAATCTTCAAAACAACACCCTCTCCCCTGATACATTTGTTATTCTCTCTCTCTCTCTCAAACTCTCTCTCTCTCTCTCTCTCTCTCTCTCTCACTCTCACATACAAATACACGCATGCACACACTTTTTTATATACACAATATTTTACAGGCACAGGCCTTATTTCATATTTTTCTCAATCCAGTCTTTGAAGGGCGGCACCTTGGTATAGGCAGTGTAGAGCTTGAGGCTACAGGTCTTGTCATAGCCCCAGCTCACCAGCCCTATCAGGTGCCAGCTTGGTTCAGGGGAAGCTTTCCCGGGCAGAGACACAGCTGCAATGCCACCTGTCTCAGCAGGGCAGATGTTGGAGGGAGCCATTGGGTCCTGCTGGGCACAGAACATGTTGTCTGTGATGCTGACCTGGATTCCATGGTCCTCATACTGTTGCTCACACAATAAAGAGTCTACTGCCTTCACAGCCCCTGAGCGGAGGGAGTCATTCTTAAAACCAGGGGCCCTCACATCAACAAGAATTTTCCAGCCTGTGATTGTGATTTGGGTGTCCTCACTGGAGGGACTGAAGTCCCGGAGCGCCGCCAGGCAGATGGGCTGCACCCTGCTGCTAACTCGGGCTTTATCGAGGAGTTTTACAACAGCAATGTCAGAGTCAAGCAGGATAGGGTCATAGTTGGGATGAACAATGATGGCAGAGATCTAAGAGAGGGAAAATAATACACAGAATTATATAATATAGTAATATAATATAATATACATAACATAATATCTCAGAATTCTACCTTAGACTCAGGTTGTATGGCCCTAGACAAGTCCCTTAACCTTTCTGAGCCTTGATTTCCTCATCTATAAAATGGGATTAATACAGGGTTGTTGTGAAGATCATTTGAGATAAGAAATGTAACGTGTTTTGTAAACCTCTAAAAGCTATATAGATTCCTCAATAATTAATAATAAAAGTTTGTTTTATGAATTAATGTTATTGTTAATTTCATGTTAATATGGTGGATAGTGGAGAGAGGCTGCCCTCAAAGCCAGGAACACAGGTTCAATTCTACTTCTGACACTTACTGGCCCAATGACCCTCTCCACCATCCCCCTTCAAGTCATTTAACTTTTCAATGCTCTAAGAATTTCTCTAAGATCATAAGTTGTAGAGACAGCACCAATCGATATTGGTAGATTGGTGGAGGGTTATTTCCCCACCTAAGAGTTCCCTATGCCAATGAAATCACAGGTCCACACCCTCTCTCTAATACCACCCCCCCACCTGCCACAAAGAAATCATGGATCTGGACAAAAGAAACATACTCAAAGGGTCCTAAATTAGGGGCTACCCCTAGGCAGTCCCTCCCCAGATAGACAAGACATTCTCTCAGGGAAAATATTTCTTTAGTTCACTAGTGCCAAGGACAGTGATCTGCCCAAATTGTCTGGAAACCTACAACTAGGAAGAAATAACTGAAGCTTCTCTCCAGGGAATTGAAATTTAAAAGGTTCTGAAAACAAAATCCAGCAGCATAGAAACAACTGAGTTAGGACCTGGTTATTAGTTAAACTAGGAAGCTACCAGCACCCCCTCTACTCCACCCTATGGCCACACCCCAGACCAGCTCCCACCTGGACCTGACCTGTTCTGCTCCTCTGTCCACAGAGACAGAGTTCCATTCTCTTCCCCACAGAACCTCACCTCCTAGAGTTTCTCCCTACTTACTGAATGTGTCTCATACATTGAATTTGAAACTGAATCCTGTATAACTGACGACAACCATATTTCAAGTTCCTTGCTCTAAGCATGAAATCAGATAGCTGAGGCGGTTACATGGTGCAATGAACAGACTATTGGACTTGGAGTCAAGAAGAATCAAGCTCAAATTCTCCCTCAGACATTCATTAGCTGTGTTGCCCTGGGCGAGTTCCTTAAATCATCTCAGCCTCAGTTTCCTCTTCAGTAAAATGGGGATAATAACAGTAGCTACTCTAATGAGATAAAGTACTTTGCAAACCTTAAACTGCTACATAAACATTAGCTATTGTTAGCTGATTAGTTAAAAGTATTCCTTTTTGGGGGCGAGGGGGAGCTGGACTTGTGATTTCATTGGTCTAGGGAATTTCCAATGATGCTTAGGAAGATTAGTTTAGGGAATTCCCAGTTTCCCTTGGCTAATCTAGATCTGTCACTTCTTGGCAACGTGTAGTGTTAGTTTCCTAGGTCACTGAGAGGAGATATAGGTCATATGCCTCAGAGTCAAGACTTGAACCTATGTCTTCTCATCTTCATATCTGACTCTATCCAAAACAGTATCCCATGACCTAGTAATAGGGGCTTAATAAATTTTTGATGAGAAAGAGGTATGTCTCTAGAGTATTTCTAAAAATGAAAGGGAAGGAGACTGGTTCTGTGCCCCTTCCTGGTCCTTGCCAACCATTCTTTTTTCTCTCCCTCCCTGCTGAGCTCCGCAGACACCCTTCTCAAAGCACTCATCCCTCACCCGTAAACTCTGAATGGTCTTCTCATCTCGGTCATCATCTCGGTAGAACTTTCCCAGGACCACTTTAAGCTCAGCTGTCTTGATCACAATGCTCTTGCCCAAGTCAGTGACGCAGTGTGCAGCCACTACGATGGTCCTCTCATTCACTAGGGCTCCGCTGCAGATCAGGAACCATGTGCCCTTATGGAGGCTGCTATCCTGCAACCCACTGGTCCTCCTATAGATGGCCGCTTGCCAAGGCCAACGCGTCCCTGGTGACTTTGGAGTTGTCACATTCTCAATCTTCCCACAGACTAGGGGAGAAGCACTTGTTTAAGATCTGCTGTCTCTGAACATGGTGCACCCCAATATTAGAAACAACGTAGAAGGTTCCCCTTTTAGGTTCTCTGGTAAGAAAACATGGCACACTGCTCACTTTGCCTTTGTTTCCTGCTATCCTCCCTTTCTGTCAAATTGGCCTGCTACTGTCTGCCCTGGCAGATGCCTAGGTTTGATTTCTGAATATTTCAGAAAATATTAAAACTTCTGCCTCTTGGACACTCCCTCCAAGGCTAAATTCAGGCAACACTGTCTATAGGAGATTTTTCCTGATGAATAAATATTAATGAGCGAAAAATCATTTAATAAATGCTATATACCAAGCACTGTGCTAAATGTAGGTGATGTAGGATATAAAAGTAAGATAGATCCTATTTTCAAAAAACTCCCATTCTAATGGGATAGAGAACACACACATAGGAGGTTATGAGATGAAGGATGGACATCAAAGCCTAGGGCTTATTAGGGTGCAGTTCAGATGACAATGCCTGTCAGGAGAGTGTAGTGGCAGAGTGGTTAGTGAAGCCCATTATTAGAGTTTTCCCTGAAATTGAATTTGTATATATTTCTCTTGTGTTCTCGTATCCCTCCCTTGACCCACCCCCAATAGAATATAAGCTCCTTGAAAACAAGGACTGTTTTTTTGTCTTTCTATCCCCATGTCTACCCAATCCAGTGCTGGACATACTTAATAAATGCTTGTTGATAAATGTTGGTTGAACTGAGGTGGCAGTTGAGGGACTTGAAGGAGGGAAGAGACTTCAGCAAATGAAGATGAGATGGAGGGGGAGGGGAGAGGAGTCTGAGACATGAATGACTGTATGCAAAGGCACACGAAGTAAAGGGAGGCAGGATGAGAATAGGTTAAGAAGAATGGCTCAGTTGGAGTGAAATTAATTCAATTTATGTGAAGAGGAGTAGTATGAGATATCTGGGCAGGAAGTCCAATATGGGAAGCATTATTTTTTGGTAAGGATTTTCGTATTTTACTTTAAAGGTGACCACTTAGCTACATAGCTGGCATAGGGAACAAGAGACAAGGTGAAAACCTAGTCTCTGGATCAGAAAGAAAGGTACCAACCCTCCTTTAAAGCAACTCACTTGGGATACAGGAGGGTGACCGCCCACTCCACTTCCCAGTCTTTAAACAGGTCCTCCGGCTGCTCCCCAGGCGGCGGTAGAAGGGTGAGATGCACTCATACTGGATCTGAGTGTGTAAGTGCACATACCCAGAAGGCAGCTCCCCAAATGGAAGGGCTGGCTTCTTGGTTGGGTAGCTGTCCAGCTTCTGCTTGCTGAATGTCGACGAGTAGAGCTGGTGTAAAGGTGTCTCCCTGGGGGTGGCCGAAGAAACAACACAGCAAAGAACAGTCAACACTGCTTCTTCAGCACTGGCTCACAAAGTAACATTTATTGCCAGGGGTTTTATTACTTATTGGAAAAAAGATCATAAGCTTAAAGGATCATAAAGTTAGAGCTGGAAGAAATAGTAAAAGTCATCAAAACTGACACCCTCATTTTACAGATAAGGAAACTGAGGCTCAGTTTAGAGCCAGAAGGGACCTTAGAGGTCATTATGTCCAATGTCCTCCTTTTACAGATGAGAAAACTGAGGATTAAAGAGGTTAAGTGACTAGCCCAGGGTCACCTAGGCAGTAAAGTATCTGAAGTGGAATTTAAATGCAGGTCTTTGTGACTCTAAGTCTTGTGCTCTAGCCACTGTACCACACTCTCTCAAAAGCACACAATATACATATATGTGCATATATGTATGCCTGATTATATGTATAGGTGTTTATGACCATGTGTATATATACACATGCATGTGTATGTGTGTATGTGTATGTATAGCAGTAATCCAGTCCCCTGGATTATGGAACAGAACCCTTCCTATACTTCTCTCTTAATTTTATTTCTGAAATGCCCTTTCTGGATGGCCTCCAGTTGCCTGGAATTATAGGGAAACAAGATAAGAGGCAGTTATTATCACTGTTAACCAGAGATATGATAAACCAAAAATAAAAGTTAATTATGAAATTACACTAGGAGTAGGCGTCAGGGTGATTAATTCCCTCCAGTGGAAACTCAGACACATCCTTCCTCTAAATGTCATAATTGGGCAATATTAGGAACAGACTCAAACTAAGTTGTGTTGGTACAGGAGCTTGATTAGACAATTAGTCGATGTAATTAGTACACCTCGGAGAATAGAACATCTCTTAAAGCATAAAGACAGAGCAAAATACAAGGGAATTGTAGGCAGATTGAACAGATATATTCAGTGAACTTTGAATTTGAAACATGCCAGAGGAACACTTATGGACTCTGCCTGGAACCAGGTCTCCATTACAGCACACACATTCATTTGGTAGTTTTGTTAACGCTGGTCTTGTGAAGAAGCACTGTGGTCTTGTAGTTAAAATGCTGGACTCGAGGTCAAAAAGATATGGATTCAAATCCTGTTGGTGATGTTTACTAACTGTGTGGCCATGGACAAGTCACCTAATAGTTCTGATTCTCAGTTTCCTCATCTGTAAAATGGGGGAATTAGACCACATGACTTCTAAGGTCCTGTATGTTTAGGAACTGTCTTTATCGCCCTAGTTTAAAAAGAAAAGAAATAAGCACTTAAAGCTTGAGGTCTCTTCAAAGTCACAGAATATGACCTCAAAGCCATTATAAGAATCAGCAGTGTGATCCACCATGATAACAGTGGTACCCAGTTGTCTCTGCCCATGCTCACTCTCAGTTTGCGTAAGGAAGAGCTTTCTCATGCTTTGCCTAACAATATGGCACACAAACCTCCCCAGGTCTATAGTTCTGAGCATTGCTCAGACGCATGGCCAGAAGCAAAGAGCTAAAACCTGAGCAGGTTTGGGAGTTGTGAATGAGCTGGTCCATTTAGTGGCTGAGGAGCCAAGGGATTGGAGAGCTGGAAGGGACCTTAGGGATCATCTAATTCACCCTCCTCTCTGAGCTCATTGGGCTTCCAGTCTAGGTCATGGAATTATATATCTGGACCTGGGAGAGGTCTCAGAAATTGTCTTGTTCGTTCCCCTCATTTTACAGACAAAGAAACTAAGGTTCAAGGAACTTAAATGGTCACTCTGGGGCTATGAATGCAACTTATCGGTACAAATGACCACATTCTTTGGTACCATAACCAGAATACCCAAAATAAACTTAGAACCATGTCCTTTGGTTGCCATCTCTACCTGAAGGCAGAGACTGTTTTGTGTCTTTGTATCCCCACTGTCTAGGACAGTGCCTGGCAGCACACAGCAGACAGGTTTGTTGAGTTCTTCTTGAAACACATAGACACCTGCAACCTGGATATCTAATCTCTGGTTTCTGTTATTACAGCAGCTCACTGGTATTTCTGGGTGACTAAGTAACTACCAAAGTAGAATTCTCACAGGATTATAGATTTAGAACTGGAAGTAACATTAAAAGCCACATAATTTAACCTCCTTATAGGTAAAAACACATAGGACCAGAGGTAAAGTGACTTACCCAAGGTCATTGAGCTACTATATGGAAGAGCTGGGATTTGAACTCAGAATTTCCTATTCTGTTCTTTCCATTATACCATGCTATATCTTCTTCTACTGGGAAAGACTTTCCCTTTATTTATGGGGAAAGCCATGTTCCATGCTAATCATAAAGGTCATGGGGTCATAGTCTTGCAGCTGAAAGGGATATTAAAGGTTATCCAATCCAATCTCTTTGTTTTATAGATGAGGAGATTGTAGATAATCTCAGAAAGAAGATATTAGCATTGAGGAGAACCAGGAAAATCTTCTACAAGGTTGGATTTGAGCTGGAATTTGAAGGAAGCTTGGGGAAACCGGGAGACAGAGATGAAGAGAGAGAATATTCTAGACGTAAGGGACAGATAGTGAACAAAATGTAGGGTCCTTGAGCCCCACCCAACATGTTTCATATTGTTTTACTCTCCACTCCCACCAACCTGTTAAGTTATCTGAACTCTTTCCAGGCTAGTCAATTGTGTTCAGCTGCCCCAGGGAACAGGTTCCCAGGCTTAACTACTGCTAGAAATGAGCTACTCCTTGCCCAATAGAAGACTTTTGCTTTGGGATTTACTCATTTTTGGCAGCCTCAGCAACCAAAATTCAGACTCTTGGGGCTGCTGCAAGAGGCTTGTCCTTCTAATTAGCTTCCTTCTCTCTCTTCCCAATCCCCCTTCCCAATTCAGGGAAGCTATGTAATAAACCCTGTTCTCTCAGGAGGTGTCAGTATTCAGCATTCCCTAGGAAGCCTTAAGCTGACTTAGAACAGAAGGTGCCTAGGAAAGAAATTCTGGGAGGGAGGGAGGAAGGGAGAGAGAGAGAGAGGAAGAGAGAGAGAGAGAGAGAGAGAGAGAGAGAGAGAGAGAGAGAGAGAGAGAGAGAGAGAGAGAGAAGAAAGTTCTCAAAAATAAATTTCAGGCATTTCAAGCTCACCTTGACTGGACTTGCATGGGGAGAATTCTTTGTCTCACTAGGTCAGAAATCTTTGGTTCTCTGCAGGCTAAAAAACAAACACAAGTTTGTATAATCCTCAGAGCAGTCACTCAAATTAGTCGAGCCCAGATCTAACCTCTCCCATTACTGAAAGAAGAGCTAGAGATAGAAAGAGATCTGTGAGTATACACAACATATGTATAGAGAAGTGTATTCTGGACTTGATCTATGAGAAAATTTTCTGCTTGTCTCCCCACACAGAAAACTCCCTGGAGAATATGATCATAGGATCTTAAGTCTAGAACTGGACAGGACCCTTAGAGAGGTCATCTCAATTAATTCCATTTAACAGGAAAATGAGACTCCTAGAGGCTAAGTGACTTGCCCAGGGTCACAGATGGTAAGTAGCGGAGCCTAGATTCAAAGCCAAGTCAAATGACTCCAAAGTCAGCATTCTTTATACTACACCAAAGGGTTCATACAAATGTCATACCTTGCAGACTCATCTGGGAAAATGTTAGCTCACAAATTGTGATATAAGAATGTAAGCTGAGGGAACATAAGCTCCTTGAGGGCAGGAAAGGACTATTTCATTTTTGTCTTTGTATCACCAATATCTAACACTGCACCTGCTACATGAAATTATAGGCTCATAGGATCATAGCTCAAGGACAGGGCATCCTAATCTTTTGGGGGAGGAGTCATAGGCACCTTTGGAAGTCTGGTGAAGTCTACAAACCCTTTTTCAGAAATACCATTTGTTGCCTACATTCAAGATGGAAGGAAATACCAAATTTCATTTAGAGGCTAGTGAATATATGTGTGCATATACATATATATGTATATGTGCATATTTCCCATTCAAGTTCTCACACCCCTAAAAATCTATCCACAGACTCCACAAGGGGTCTGTAGACCCCAGGTTAAGAACCTCTGTTATAAAGCTAAAAGGAACTTAAGAAGGCATCTAATCCAACCTTCCTAATATACAGAAGAGGAGAATGAGGTCTGGGCGTGGGGTTGGATTAAGTGGCTTGCCAAAAGTCCCAAGGATAGTAAGCATTAAGGCACAGTCAACCGCCCCCTCCAATTCCACAGTAGGTACCTCAGGAATGCTTGTAAATAGAATTACATCAACAAGCATTTTTAAAGCACCTATTATGTGTCGGGCACTGTGTTAAGCACTGGGGATACAAAGAAAGGGGGGAAATAGTTTTTGCATTCAAGGAGCTTACAATCTATTGGACTAATTGTAACCTATTGATAATAGAATGATTATATGTCATTGCATTATAAGAAATGATGGATAATGAAGAATTCAGGACATCTTGTGAGCACTTATATGAATGGAAACAGAGTGCAATGACCAGAAACAAGATGATCATTTGTACAAAACCCAAAATAATGTAAAGGAAAACAGTGATGAAAGACTCAGACCTTTGATCAAGGCAGTGACTAATCATAGTTTCCAAAGACTGATGGTAAAGCATGCCTCCTGCCTCTCAGGAGAGAAGTGATGAGATATAGGTACAAAATGAGATGTACATTGTCAGATGTAGCCAACGTGTTGCTACATAAGATTGGGGGAGAGAAGAAAAGAGAAATCAATGGGAAGTTAGAGCAATGTTAAAAAAATCAATAAAACATTTATTAAATTTAAAATGTTAGTTCATAGATTAGGGCCAACCAATTACATAAAATACCAGTAAACTTAGTTGAGTTTTTTTAAATGGCATTGAAGTAAAAGTGAAATTTCTAAACAAAAACCTGACCTTCCAGCCATGGGAAACTGAAAGGTTCTCACAGTGGCTAAGCCCAGAAGGCAGTCTCAACTCAATGGAAGCCTTGGAGTGAACTTGCCCGATCCTTTCACTGAAACAGAGGCCTCTCAGGATAGCTTAGGGTCAACTTGAAACCCAGTTTGATTTTCCTTAACACTTTCTTTCTTCATGTGTGAAAAGAAATCTCTTTTATCCCACTCTCTAGACCAAGTAGCCTAAATTGGGCTAATTAGACATTTAAAGGACTTTGGTCTGTTTTAATGAGTAGGAGGGGAGCTAATGGAAATCTTGAAGGGCATCCTCTCTGTGTGTAAAGGCACCAAGGCATGGCTTATCTCTGCTGGTAGGGACCAAAGCTGTTTGTTCTTGGCTGAAATCAGGAGGAGTTTGCTGCCTTCACCCCCAAAATAAATAAATCAACAACACTCTCTCTGTTTCCTTTTCCCATGGTTCAGGCTGTTTACAAACACAGACAAAGGAAAGTGGAAAACTGAGGCAATTATCTGGGTGATGTATGCCAAGAAAAGGCTTTTCTTTTTCCTCCCTCAATACAGTTGACATTTAGACAGTAGTGTAAAGTCCCCAAAGGGTTTTACATGCATTAATTCATTTGTTTCACTACAACTCTATGAAGTAGTGACTAGACCTATAATTACTTCCACATCACCTCCCCCCCCACCTTTTTTAAGTGAGAAAACTGAGGCAAACAGAGGTTAAGGCCACATAGTAAATGTCTTAGGTGAGATCTGAATCCAGGTCTTTCTGACTCTAAGTCTAGCATTTTAGCTACTAAGCCAGATTGTCACTAAGTCATTCATTCATTCATTCATTTATTCATCCAGCAAATATTTATCAGGTGCCTAGTACACTAAACTCCATATTAGGTAGAATTCCAATATATACATACATACATACATACATACATACATACATACATACATATATATATATATATATATATATATATATATATATATATATATATATCTGTCATCATGGGGCTTACAGTCTCATTTTGCCGTAACCTGTGATTATAGAACTCCCAAGGAAGAAAACCCCTCTATCAAGACATAGCTTACTGCCCTGCAACTTCAAATCTGAGAGAGTTGCTTATGGGCACAAAGAGGGCTAGTGGCCTAGTATATATCAGAGGCAGGAGATGAACCCATATTTTATTTGATATCAACTACACCAGACTGCTTCTCTAAATAACTGTAAGGTAATAAATGCTGACATTTTCATAGCACTTGAACATTTGCAAATCACTTGACACATACTCTCTTCTTTTATCCTTAACTCCCCCCAAGATTGCCACCATGAAGTAAGTGCTACTATTATCCCATTTTATAGATGAGGAAACTGAACCTCAGAGAAGTTAATTGATGCCCATGGTTGCCTAACTGGTATGCATTGGAGGTGGAATTTGTCAGTGTTTATGACTCTCAAACCACCATGCTTTCTGTTGACACAGTACGCTTCATCAAGGTAGACTGTAAAAATGAGTAAGAGAAATGCAAAGCCTAATAGGAATTCTAAGGGAGAAAAGGTGGAGGGGAGATAAAGGAAAGATTCATGGAAGAGATGGCATTTGAGTTGGGTTTTGGAGAAAGATTAGACATTGAGTAGACAGAGCTGGGAGAAATAATCAAAAGCAGAATTTTGGTCGAAGTCGTGCCTGGAATCCAACCTGTATCTCTTCTTAAAGAAGTACTTTGATCACGTCTCTACTCCTCTCTCCTCCCAAGTCTTTAAAACTATTAATCTAATGCCTTTAGGATGAGTATTTATGCTCAATTCAATTCAATTTCATTCATGTTTTTCAGTGTCCGATATGTATCAGGCACTGGAGATACAAAGATCAAAAAAATGGTTTACCCTTAAGGAGCTTATATTCTATTGGGGGATAAAGCCAATGTGAACATAGAAAATTAAATATCAATTATATGCAAAGTAATTTCTGAGAGTAGGCCCTGAGCAACAGAGGAAAGGGGAACAATGGACGATGGCTTTCCTGTAGGAGGAGATACTTGAACTCAGATTTAAAGGAAGTTAGAGATAGGGTGAAGGTAAGGAAAGAGAACAACCCAGGCATCAGGGTACAACTTGTGGAGAAGCGCAGAGATGGGAGATACAGAAAGCAGGTAAGTTTGGCTGGAATATTTATTGTACAAATCCATCAATCAATCAATAAGTTTACTACTAAGTACCTACTGGATTCCACATACTGTCTTGGGCACTGGGGATGCTAATATAATGAATGAAACAAGGAGCCTACATTCTAGTGAAGGATATACAAGGTGTATGAAGATAGATGCTGAATAAATATAAAGAGGAATATTCTGCTATAAGCTTGGAATGAGGGAGCAACAGCCAGGGTGAAGGGCTTTAAAAGCCAAATAATGCCTTGTGTTTTATTCTAGAAATAAGAGGGAGCTCCTGGCACTTCTTGAGTAGGTGAATGATGTGGTTAGACCTGTGTATTGCAACTATGTGTAGGAAGGGAGAAACTGGAAGCTGGTGGAGCAGTTAGGAGACTCTTGCAAAAGTCCAGGTGAGGAGTGAAGGGATGAGGGTAGAAAGTAGGCTGGCAGCTGTGTGAGTGGATAGAAGAGAAGAAGGAAAGACTGCGGCAGAAGAATGGACAAAACTTGGCAACTGATTGAATGGGAGGCATGAGGGAAAGTACCACACCAAGCATGACACCTAGAGACATGATGAAGCTTTCACATTAGCCAGCATAGAGTCCTCATTATTCCCTGAACGTGCTACACATCCTTCTGCCTCCCTATAGCTCCCATGTAGAAGACTCCTTCAAATTCTACCAATCATTTGGCTCATGCACTTCCTTTCTCTCCATTTCTCCAAATTCTACCAATCATTTAGCTCATAGCCTTCACAGACTTCCCTCTAGGAATTCCTACAAGACTTTATATATAACTGAGCTCTGGACTGTGCTGTATATATATATTTTGTCACTTTAATACTTAATAAGTGTTCATCTTAATAACAGCTGACATTTGTGAAGCATTTGAAGGTGGTAAAACTCTTTACAATCATGATCTCCTCTGATCCTCACAGCAACTTTATAAGGTATCTTACTTTGTATAGATATTTCTCCTATGTGAGTCCTGCCTCTGACATATTGGTTGTGTGATCTTGGGCAACTCACTTAATTTCTAAGTGTCCAGGGCAACTCCCTAAGTTTATAAATTGAAAAAAAAAAGGTGCTAACCTGGATTGGTAGAGTTTCCTTACCTGAGAGTTCCCTATATCAGTGGAATCACAGCTCCAATCCCCCAAAGAATCATTCAAACCCTGGTTGTCCTGGCTCCAAATTCAGCATTCTATTTATTGCACCACACGGTGTCTCTTCTTTTGGTTTTAAAAATGTGAAAAAATGTTAAGGGAAAAGATAGGGTTTTATCCTCCTCATGTATCTCCCACGTCATCTCTGAGAAACACAGTGTTTCCACTCTCCACTTCCTTTTTTTTTTAATGAATAACCACAGACTCTGGAATTTTCCATGGACAACTGCTATTCTACAAACCTTAACTCTTTTTGATCACTTGCCTTTCTCTGTATCCCCAGGACTTAGCACAGTGTCAGACCCACAGGAAGCATTTAATGAATGCTTGTTGAAAGATGGAGCTGGACAAACTTATGCTTCTGTTTGTCCTTAGAAAAGTAGAAGGCATCTCTAGGGATGACTTACTCTTAGGAGTAACCGAGGAGGGAAGCCTAATGATATCAGAAGAACCCCACGAGAACTTTGAAAGGGAAAGAGTGTTTGCCAAGGGACAAAAATAAAAATTTAAGAAAACACACATATCTAGGAATGGGACAAGAGAATAACCAGGACCACTCCCACACCCACCTACCCCAAAGCTCTTCTTCCAGCTTTAGAAGACTTTGTGAATTACCTTTTATACATATTGGCTGTTTCCCTGACCATTCTCCATTTGGTTGGCAAGTTCTTTGCTCATTGCCACTTAGAACATATGAGTGGTTGCAAAAGAAGGACATGATGGTGCCGATTTTGGCATAGCGCCCATTTATAAGCCCGCTGCCTTCTGAGGTCCTCCTGTACCCATTGACTGGGCCTCCTGGGTCGGAACAGTTTTTTTCTTCCAGCACTAATGATGGAAATAAAAGAAAGAGAGAGATAGAAAACATTATTAAAATTCTGGAATGTTCATTTTTAGGAACAAATCATGCAATGTTTTATATCGAATTTAAGACTGTCACTCAAAATTAATCAACAACAGTGATTCAAAGTCACTATGGATAGAAAACTCCTAAAAAGAAAATTTATCTAATAAAAATGTTTTCTTGGTGCATCCTTAAAACCAGAATGTCATTTTTAAATCTGGCTTCACAATCTAGCCTCAAAAGCACTTGTTCTTCTCTTCTTACAGTGGTGGAATTTTTAGCTTCTTTTGGAAGTTTCAGCATGAGCATGTTTAAATTTAAGTTGGGCACATTCAGAAAAATGTGAATATTTCTGAGATTATACATTCAGCAGGAATAGTTTAGTGGACATGATATTTTGTTTGTCTTGTTCTGAATGTTGGTTCTGTTGTCTTCTGAATTTCACTGTACTTGGGCTATGAAATTAGGCTAGTGAGTTTCATCCTTGTTTTCCGTCAATCTCATTTTCTGACAGAAACATATAGTCAGTAGGTGGCTAGTCACTTCCTATGTTACTAACTCTAACCAACCAATAACTTTTGTTCACTGAACCTAACAATAACAACATCAACAAAACCCCATTGTGCTGTTGTTCAGTTGCGTCCAACTCTTCATGACCCCATGGACTATACTGTTCGTGGAATTTTCTTGGTAAAGATACTAGAATGGTTTGCCATTTCCTTCTCCACTGGATTAAGGCAAACAGAGGTTAAATGACTTGCTCAGGTCACACAGCTAGTAAGTGTCTGAAGTCAGATTTGAATTCAGGTCTTCCTGACTCCAGGCCCAGCACTCTATCCACTGAGCCACGGAGCTGCCAACAGTTCCCGATACTTCCTTTTTATAATGCAGGTTTCTATTTCATTCTAAAATCTTTTCACTAACACTCACTAAGAAAGTTTTTCTATCCTTTAACTCAAGTTGGATGGGAATTTAAAGTGTAAACGGTATCACAGGAAATCTTGAGAACAATCCCAGATTCTTTCTAGACATCCCTTTTCACACTTCTTTGAGAGAGGTAACATTTTATTTTGAAGATGGGTAATCTAAGGTAGTGGTGTCAACCTCAAATAGAAAAGGGGACCATGATCCATATATAAAGATCCCTTTGGATAGCATTTTGACTTAGTTTTAAGATGTGATATTATCTATGTTTTATTCTACTTTTATTTATTTTGTTAAATATTTCCCTATAACATTTTAAGCTTGTTCTTGCAGTGTTGTTGATACCACTGAGCTGAGTCATAGATGGGAAGGAGATTTGTCCAAGGACTCAGAGCGAGTCTATTCTAGAATCACATCTTCAGTTATAAGGTCATTAGAGGTTTGTCCAACCACTGACTTCCTTTAAATAATCTTTTCTTGGGCACAAACTCACTTATACTTAAAACAGGCAATATTCAATGCCATGTGGCACTTGTAAAACCATTTCCATGATCTCCTTTCCCTCCCTCCCTCCTCATAACTCAACACTTGTTTACTGAGGATGAAAATAATTTCAAAGCTTTAAGTTGAAATAAGAACAGAAACAAATTAAACACAAGCTATTTGGTATACTGTCACTTCTATTACATGAGCTTTGCTGCTTGCCTAAATTGTAGGGAAAATATTTAGTGAATCTGAATTTCTACCATGGGTATACCCATTGGATTCCAGGAAGTTCATCCGGATGCTCCTTGAACCGTGGCATGAGATAAAGGGGATCCCAATAGACCTAAACACCTGGAGCCATGAGCTATCAGTGAGAAATACCCAACCAGGGTTTGCACACCCAAGTCACTTTAGGATATCACCATTCCTCTGCCTTTTGGAGGCACATAGAATGATTCTAATAAAACCATTGCCATAAAATGGTGGGAATCACCAGATCTAATAACAATACAGGAAAGGCAAATTACTGTTGGCAAAACAACAACTAAGATGCTAAGTGAATATAAGAAGCCTCTAAAGCTAGATTCCCAAGAGACTAGCACCTGGTCTGGTACACAGTAGGCACTTAATAATTACATGTAGATTGATTGATTAGAGCCTATTGGAAGCAAAGGAGAACTGGGTTAATTTGCAGATAGGCTATATTCTCTGAGAATAGAAATTTTCCAACACAAAAGTTTCAAGGCTTTCCCTCAGCTTGCTTTCACTGAACCTAGTAGCTGATTGTCTCTCTCTCCTCTGCAGCAGGTATTTCATGAGTCTGATGATTGCCTGTGAACAGAACTCTGACCAGGAAGGCCGTTACAGGAGCTTATATCCACTAGATTTTTAGTAGACTTAGAAAGTAGGGAGTGAGAAGTGTCCCTCAACTGATATGGGAGAGCTATAGCCTAGTCTCTATTTCTTTCATCAAAGTCCCCCCTTTCTGGCCTTTGTGGATTGAGTACTAGACAAGGTCAGTTAGACCTTAGTCCAACCCTTCCTTTGATACAAACTCTATGGCCATAACCAAGTCATTTCACTTCTCTGAAACTCAAGCAATTCTCTAAGGTTTATTTACTAAGTTAGAGAAAGGTAGTCCAATCAACTTTGCCATAGGGCAGCCACCTTCATTATAGACATGACTACTCCTGGGGCTTAGGAATGTTATTTAGATTCAAATTTTTCCTCATAATAAGTGCTTAATAAATTCTCTTTCTCTCTCTCTCTCATTCACTTTTACTTTCTTTCACTCTCACTCTCTCCTCTCTCTCTCTCTCTCTCTCTCTCTCTCTCTCTCTCTCTCTCTCTCTCACACACACACACACACACACACACACACACACACACAAGCTGTAAGCTATCATCAGGATGAAATGAGAAAGGTTGTTGTGATATTTGGAACAGATAGAATGGAAGCTCCTCGAGGGCAGAGACTTTAATTTTCATCTTTGTATCTCCAGAGTCCAACACAAATTCTGGAATGCAGTGGGTGATTAAAAAGTGATAAACACCTGCTGATTGATTGCTTGATTAATTGATTAAAACCTAGGGGAGTCAGAAGAGAGCTGAGTCAATTCTTGGACAGGCTAAAATGGTAGGGCATTGACATTTCCCAACAAAGAACCTTCAAGAACTTGTGAGAGAACCTTCATTATTAAAGCACATTGGTCAACCTGGGAGAAAAACAAACAAACAGTGCCCTTACCACAGACTGGGTCGTGTCTGGTCCAGCTCCCATCAAGCTGACAAAAGGCGACCCGACTGCCTTTTAAGCTGTACCCTGGGAGGCAACTGAAGTAAACCTGGGCCCCATATCTAAGATCACTTCCTTCCACCATCCCATGGGCAGGAACACCTGGAGTCCTACACATCACCACTGAGCATTCAGATATTTGAAAAAATCCACTTTGTTACAAAAACATGACTTTTAGAGAAGTCCAGACCACATATGTTAAAGCATTCAAAAAGGAGAAAGAAAATCATTTAAAATGCCCCTAGGAGGAAAACCAGAATTTTATGACAGGTACATGTAATCTTGGCATTGGAAGGCAGAAAATACTCTATTTTACCTGCTGGCATAATTGGAGACTAAAACTCTCATTACATTTATATTTCAGAAGGCAGACCCATCTCTAACCCACCAAGGAACACTGTGATTTTTATAGACTTTCTCTTATCACCTCTGGATATTAAAGTTTCATTTCACCCATACAGTTTCCACTGAAGCCAATCATAGGCACTTATATTTGTCATCTGGGAGAGTGGTTAATTATTCCAGTCTGCTACACTGCACCTAAACAACTCCTCCATGAGCCACAAGGCCAAGTTTAGCCTCAGCAGGACTAAAATTTGAACAAAGGTCAGTCACGCAGTAGACTTTGATTGGATTTCTTAATTTCACCCACTGGTACCATTCGAAAGGCAAAATATCCTTTTGAAAGAAGGAAGCGTCTCAGCATTTGCAGGTGTGATGGAAAGTGGGCTGGACCTGGAGTCAGAGAACCTGGGGCCCTGCTGCTCACTGACTTTGGAATGTAGATGAATCACTAAGCCTTGATGAACCTCAGTTTGCTCATCTGTAAAACAGGGATAATAATAACTGTCCAGATTACCTCGCAGGGTTGTTCCAAGCCTCAAATGAAAAGATATATGAGAGAGTGTTTTTTCAAACTGTGGACATGATAGTAATTACATTAAAGAAGATATTAAGAACACAGTAACCATGTTTCTTTAAGGATTTTAACAAGTAAAGCCTGACCAACCATTCCAAGCAAGGGAATGGGAACTTGAAAATATGCATAAGTCAAAGGTTTTTACGGAATTAAGGTATACTGAATTAATTGATCTATGACAACTGAGAACCGAAAGTTAAGATATACAGTCCTGGAGCTATTTGTTTTTTGTCTGTGTATCCCCGGTGCCCAGCACAGTGACTGATATATAGAAATAGGAGATAGACCTATGATTTCATTGGTACAGGGAACTTCTGGGTGGGAAACTCCCTCTACTAATGTAGGTTGGTACCTTCTCCACAAGCTATAGTCTCTGAGATTTGCCAAGAACACTAAGAGGGTAAGTGACTTGCCCAGGGTCACATAACCAGGAAGAAATGGGATTTAAATCTGGGTCTTTCTGACTCCATGGTTGACTCTCTATCCATCATGTCACATTACCTCTTACCTGATATATAGTAGACAATTAATCAGACATTTATTAAGCATCTACTATTTAACAGATACTATGCTAAGTGCTAGGAATACAATGATGAAAACAAAACAATTCCTGCCCTCAAAGAGCTTGCATACTAACTAGGCAGAAAACCTGTACTATATATGTATATATTTATACATATGTATAATTGAGAAAATTGATTCATTGAGGACCCCTACTCAAACTCTAGTCAGTAATAACCAGTTCATTATGATTCTATAAAGGGTAATTATTGTTAGTCATTATTTTAATATATTCGTCTTGTAATGCATATTTAATTGATCATCTAGTAATAGGTATAGGAATAAGCAGCATATTAATCCTTATTTTGTATGTTATATAGAAATATAGATTCTAATAGGAAGGCCCTATGATAGGGCTTATTTTAGCTTATGTGTCATATGTCAACTAATGGAATTATTCTGTATTTTGTATAGATGCTTTAGAATGTTTAGGTGTCAAGCCCTATAAAAATAGGGCCTTTGAAGGAAGAGGCATCTCAGATTGAGAGGGAAGTCTGAGGTTCACTAGAGCTCTGCCTCAGTTTTTCTTTTAGTTATTCAGGATGATTTTTGTCCCTACATTTTGTTTGTATGTGCATATGTATAAAAACAAATTAGATACAAGGTAACATTGGGAAAGAGGGAGTAGGCACTCATAGCAGAAGAAAGCCAACAAAGGCTTCATGCAGAACGCTTATTAATAAATGTTTGTTGATTGGGAATACCTAGGCATGACCAAAACCAAGCAGTTATCTGACCAGACAACTTAGGCAGTGGTAACACCTAAGGGAACAGTATACATTTCTATAGCTGATGCTCAGAAATGTAAATCCACTCAAGGCAAGATTTTTTTTTTGTAAAGCAAGCTAAAACAGTCCAAATATATCTACAAAATGAGATACCATGGAGAGCAGCAGATACAAGAAAAAGTAATAATTGCAATAGAGAGAGGTTCAGTAATTTATAGGAGATAAAGTCCGAGAAGGAAGTCAGCAACTAAAAGCCCAGGACCTCAGATGTCTATATACAAATGCACAGAGTATGAATAATAAAGTGATCCTACTACAAGAAGGCAGATGTGGCCACACAGAGATTTGGCAGAATGGGACTCCTAACTGGAACATGACTGTGAAGAGGTATATATAACATATGCAAAAATAGCACATGAAATAAAATGGAACAGTAGAATAGCAGTATATTTTAAGAACATACACTTGTCACTCACAGATGACCAATAAGCATTTATTAAGCTCCTACTATGTTCCAGGCACTGTGCTAAGCACTGGGGATACAAAGAAAGGCAAATCTATGGTCAGGATGGAGAAGCATTATCATCCAGATCTCTCTTCTCTTTGAGAGACAAACTCTTGGGGAAAAAAAAAAATCACTATTGTTGTCTCCACTTTTTTTTTTTACCTCCAACTCCTTCTTAGCCACTTGTAATCTCTTCTGACATTAACCATCAACTGAAATGACTCTCTCCAAGCACACCAATGAAACTTTGATCACCATATTTGATGGCTTTAGAAAAACTTATTTTCCAAAGGTCTATTTCCAAAGATGATTAGGAGGAAAGGAAAAGAACCTATATGTTCTAAAATATTTATAGCAGCTCTCTTTGTGGTGGCAAAGAACTGGAAATTGTGGGGCTATCCATCAATTGGAGAATGATAGAAAAAATTATGGTATGTGATTGTGATAAAATATTATTTTGCTATAAAAAATTATGAGATTAATGAGCTTATAAAAACACAGAAAGACTTTCACAAAATAATGAAGAGTGAAATGAGCAGAACCTAGAGAATGTTGTATACAGTAACAGAAATATTATTTTAAGAACAACTTTAGGGGCAACGAGGTGGTGCACTGAATAGAGCTCTGGTCTTGGAGTCAGGAGGACCTGAGTTCAAATCCAGCCTCAGACACTTAACACTTACTAGCTATGTGACCCTGGGCAAGTCACTTAACCCCAATCACCTCACTAAAAAGAAAAAAAACAACTTTGAACAACTAAGTCATTTTGACTATTGTAATACCCAAATTAATGACAAAGGACATATGAAGGAAGATGCTATCTGCATCCAGAGAAAGAACTGATAAAAAGAAGCATATAGAGAATGATATATATACATACACACACACACACACACACACACATATAGTGTGTGTGTGTGTGTGTGTGTGTGTGTGTGTCTAATGGTAGCCATCTCTAGGACAGGGGGTGGGGAGGGAAGGGGAAAAGAGGGAAAAAATTTACATGATAACATATTTAAAAGGAAATGCAAGTCATACATAATTGATTTGCAGTTCCATATGCAATCATTGTTTTTTCTACTATGTTATGGAAATGCTTGTTTCATTTCATAAATTAAAAATAAAATTTTAAAAATCCTTCTTGACTAATTTGTAAACTGTAACACATTTAACCATCCCTTCCTTGTAGAAAGTCTCTTCTCCATGGATTTTCATGATAGTGTTCTTTTCTGTCTATCTTCCTATTTCTCTGACTACATCTCGGTTTCTTTTGCTAGACATCATTTATAATCCACCTCTTCTCCAATGGTGTGCCACTACGTTCTGGACTAGTCCCTGTTCTCTTCTCTCTCAGTGATCTCATTGGTTTCCATGAGATCTACTATCATTTCTTTGAAGATCTCTCCCTCTCTCTCTCTCTCCCCCCCACCCAGTCTGGGGACTAGTTTTACCATATCACCTACTCAAAATCTCCAACTGAATGAATGTACAGTCTGAATTTCAAGTTCAGCCCATCTGAAAACATAGTATTTTTCTCCAAAAAAAAAAAAAAGAAATACAGTTCTTGCCCTCAATGAGCTTACATTCTAATGGGGGAAGGCAACAAACAAAAAGGAGCTGGAAAGGGAGGGGGTGTACAGCATAGGAGGAAAATGTCAAAAGTCAGAAACAAAGTCAGGAGAATGAAGGTCCTGAGAACTCCTAAATGGGAGCAGTGGCTGGCACAACTGAGGAGTGTTCCAGGGTGGAGAGGCTGCAGGAGAGGAGAGATGTACCAGGGTTCCCTAGGTGCTGAGGAAATTCTATTCAAATACCAAAACAGATGTGAGATATATTGACCTGACTTGACAACTGATTGGAAACAGGGGATGAGGGAGAGGAAAAAGTCCAAGATAATGTCAAGTTTGTGAACACTGGTGAAGAAGGGTAATAAAATTGAAGAAATTGAGAAATTTTCTTTCCCTCTAAAGAAATAGGGAAAACAGAAAGAAGAAACATTTGTATTTGCATCCCCAGCACTTGGCACAATGCCTGGCACACAGTAAACACTTAATAAATACTTGTTGTCTCTTTCCTTCTCTCCACTCACACCGTCATCACCTTGGTTCAGGTCCTAACCTTTTCTCAGCTAGATTTTGATCATAGCCTCTTCACTCCTGTTGCTTCTTCTTCAAGCCATCCTCCATACAGCTACTAGCTTGATTTCCTTAAAGCAAGAGTTTGGTCACATAACTCCCCTGCTCAAGAAACCCCAATGGTTCTTGCCTATAGGATAAAACTCAAACTTTTCTATTTGTCTTTTAAAGTCCTTCACAGATTGGTTCCAGTCCACCTTGCTAGACCTATTGCCCATTACTCTTCTTTATACACTCTATGTTCTGACCCAAACTAGCCCTACTAGTCACTCCCT